TTTTCTCAAAATATGCATTTAATATCACCTCATTTTCCAGCGATTCTCAAACGATTCGTTCGAAGTAGTTCAAAGATTCAGTCTCTCTAAACCCGTCCTTTCCGTGAGCCTGCTCTGCTCTGATTGGTCAGATGGCCTAGTTGTGTTTGAAAAGAATAAGGGAATCTTTCATTATTACACCATTCAGTATGACCAATATGAAAGCATCTTTTGAACGGTCATGTATATTTAGGAAAACCTCCCCTCTATATCTCTCCTCTCTTGCAGATCATCAGTGAGGAGAAATACCGGCAGCTGGAGAAAATAAAGACCATTGGCAGCACCTACATGGCTGCATCCGGCCTTAATGACTCCACCTATGACAAGGAAGGCCGCTCGCATATAACCGCCCTGGCCGACTACGCCATGCACCTCCGCGAACAGATGAAATACATCAATGAGCATTCCTTCAACAACTTCCAGATGAAGATCGGTGAGTTTCAAAACCTGCAGGGTCACATAGGTGCCCATTGTTTGCCGAGTTTTTTTTTCTAAACGTCTGAAAAAGTTTTGTCTGCCAAATTAAACTCATGTGGTGCATGATTGCGTGACTATTTGTGACAATGCGAGGTAGTTCAGGATTCATATAAACAGAACTTTCAGAATCTAAAATCGGATTGACGAAAATGACCACATTTAAACATACCAATTGAAAATGTTATCATTTAAAAAAAAAAAAATTTGCCATGATAAAACTGAAAATTGTAACTCAGTTTTTACCACAAGGCAAGATTAGTTTAAGTTGTAAAATGTCATGTGGTACATCTCCCCACAAATACATTTTTTTAAATTAATTATTTATGATTATAAATATTTTTTTTACCATGAAATTTCATTAAAAAAAAAAAACTTTCTGAAAATATTAAAGTGCCCCTATTATGCCATTTTTACGGTTCCTAATATTGTTTTTGGAGTCTCCTACCATAGGATTACATGCATGCAAGGTCAAAAAACGCTTTCCTTTTCTCAAAATATGCATTTAATATCACCTCATTTTCCAGCGATTCTCAAACGATTCGTTCGAAGCAGTTCAAAGATTCAGTCTCTCTAAACCCCTCCTTTCCGTGAGCCTACTCTTCTCTGATTGGTCAGATGGCCTAGTCTGTTGCGATTGGTCTACGGCTTACAGCGGTGTCGGAAACGATACGCTCTAAAGAAAGTATAAACGTCTATTATTTATCACACTTACAGGTTGTGATTCAGTGGAGCAGCTGGTCCAAATAAACAGGATTCTGATCCATCTTTCAACAGCAAGCGAACTCCCCGAGATTGGAGAAGCAGTCGTCAGTAGAATGACGTGTTTGTGGGCGGGGTCAAGTTCGCGGCCGGCCAACATGTAGAACATAGGCGCGCATTATGCAAATGTGTTACCCCGTGACGTGTAACCGTCACAGAAGTGGGATTCGAATACTAACGACTCGTTTCAGCTGTTCAGAGTCGATTCTTTATTTTGGGAGACAATAACTTTATTTATCGTGCACTGTCAGCTTTACAACTTTGCAGGGCACTTTAAGGTGTGTATGCATCTTAACTTGACTTAATAGTTACACTCAGTGTTGTTATTGTTAATTAAAACAATAAATGTTTTTATTTGTAATTAAAATTGTATATTAATATTATATAAAATATTATTGTACACAATTGTATTTTTAATAATAATAAATACATTTGTAATATTAGACAAAAAAATTTGAAATGATGCCTTGGCAACTAACTGAAATAAAATAAGTAAAATAAAATTGAAATTGAAATGAAAATAAATTACAGCTAAATAGAAATAAAAAATACATAAAAATAAAAGCAAATTCACAATATTAATAAATACTACATTTTAGTATATAAATATAGAGTATAGTATATAGTATATAAATAATACTAAAATACACTGGTCACACTACATGGCGTCACATGACGTTAAATAACCATTTGCTTTTTACTTTTTGAAACATGAATACTAAGGGTACATTTCTAAATTGGCATATGCATGTGTGTGTGCAGGACTGAACATTGGGCCAGTGGTCGCTGGAGTTATTGGCGCCAGGAAGCCACAGTATGATATCTGGGGAAACACAGTAAACGTGGCCAGTCGGATGGGAAAAAAAGAGCTTTCCGAGGCATCTGGGGAAAAGCCACAGCATTGGATACCACGGTACAAGACAGTTTATCGAGATCCAATTCATTCTAGAAGGACTTTTTTTAAAACGGAAGAAATATATCTATAAATTATGACTGAATACTGTGCTTTGTAATCTCCAAGGGGCATAACTCTTTTCACTGTGAGGTTTCTGATACAACTAGCTGCTTTCTTGCCAAACTAAACAGCTCAAAAGCATGTCTGATTGTGGTATCTTCTCTACGATTTTTGTTTGTTTGTTCGATTCCCTGAAGTTGTTTGGGTATTTTGTATCACCTCTGTATCCATTTTTTTTTTATTCATATTCTGGTTGTTCTTATATCTATTCGATTATGATTCCATTCCAGAGAGGGAACAAAGACCTGAATTGAGACATTTGGTACTAACTGATCAACTGCAGTCTTTGACGTATGATCAGATCAACAATATTCCCTCCACACACAGTAAACGTGGCCAGTCGGATGGACAGTACAGGGGTCCCGGACCATATTCAGGTAAACCTTCAAGCCTGTAGATGCCTTAGTCATAATGAGCAAGTCGTTTAGAAGGGACTTTCTGATGTTTTACTGGATGTCTTGCAGGTGACCACAGACCTGCACCAGGTGTTGGCCAGTAAAGGTTACAAGCTGGAGTGTCGAGGGGTCGTTAAGGTGAAAGGCAAGGGTGAGATGACCACTTACTTCCTGAATGAAGGACCTCCCAACAGTTAGCAGCGCTCTAGAGTTCCTTTGGATTCCCACAATTCCCCAGAGAGGAGGATTTCTAGAGGCAAGCAGAAGACAAACAAGTAGCCATCGCCATCACTTGAAGAAAAAACAAAGAAAAAAGGAAGATTATTGAAAAAAAAAACAAAGCAGACTCCAGACTGGAGAGTCGTGGCACTCGTGGATATGGCTGTGCATTTTGAAGGACGATTGTTTTTAAGCCTCTCCCTCAGGCTGCTTGAAAGATGCAAAGTCTGTTTATCACCATTTTGTTCATCACCAGATTTTAATTTATTTACAATTACTGATTATCACTTCTATAATCAAACTAGTATCACTTTTTTACATCTTAACAATGTGAACTGATTATTTCTGCTTTTCAAAACTCTAGAGTTGGGTGTAAATCAAGATGCCTTGCTGAGTAAATATTTTATGCATATGGTGAGCTGTAATTCAAATACTATTGTCAAGGTAACTTAACATGGTCCTAGATCATCTTTTCATCCTGTTGTAGTCAATTTTTGATACTAACGGAAGAGGAATCAGAACATTGTGGTCTACTAAAACTCATGGAATGGAAACGACTTCAGGTCAAGTTTATTCACAAATGGTTCATTGTTTTATTATTACTGGACTTAGCCACCATAATGCAGGTATATGCAAAGAACAACATTTAGCACATACAGATTGGGACTAAATTTATTGCACCAAATTCTATAAACAATATGGCACAGTCATAGATGTGCAGTGGATATGTTACACTTGCATTAGTGTGAGTTGTGTGTCCTTTGCACCTCCTGTTCTGCAAAGCGAAGTGACACAGTGCAGTGTTGCAGTATTATGGGACTGTGATCATCATGTGAACATACGGTCTTACAGTTTCATGGAGCAGGAATCAAAACAAGCTGAAGTCTGGGCAGGTCATTGACATCTCATTCACAAACCTGAGACAATAAGTGAAATATGCATTATTAAAGCATTATCCCTTAATTGTCTGTTGACACACATTGGCCTACATAGCTTAAGATTCTTCATACTTTGTCATTTCGCTGTTTTTGCGTGGGAAGCGACGGGTTTGAGTCCAAGGCTCCTGGTTCTTCAGGCCATCGGTGGAAACCCACCAGCCGTACTGCTGGTTGTCCGTCACAGGTACACGATACAGTTCTTTAGGAGCTAAAAAGAGGAACACAAGATCTCATCAGTGTCACACTGACCACCAAAAAAATAAAAAAGCTTGTCAAAATGGAGAAATCACTTTCTCCATTTTGAGCAAGCATAATTACACGAACTGAACAAATACACACACACACACACACACACACACACACACACACACCTCTCTTTAGTATGTAACACATTCAGTAAGTGGGTGTTTGATGGATTTAGTGTGAACTTACACCTCTGAACGCGTCTGCTGAAGTCCTGATATCTGCTCTGGCTGCCGAGATGCAGGTTTGAGGAGTCTGAAAGGAAAAAACAAACATATTGGACCCCACTACTGTACGTTAGATAAACAGATGTGCTAAAGACTGCATTAACGTCTCACCAAAGCAGCCATACCTCGTGTAAGATTGTTCTGGGTAGATGTTACCATCCTGTCCCCAAAAGGGTTCTGATAACCCAAATATGTGAGTCCGAAGAAAGCCATAATCAAAACTGTATTGTGAGAACTAGCCAAACAATAGCAGAAGGGACGACCTGAACCGAGCGAAAAGAGTCGAACATGAGATTCACGCGCTGTCTTCAAACGCTGTTTAATGTGTTGCCATGGATACATACTTGCACTGCCCCCATCTCCCGTTTATTTATCAGCACTTTTATAACCTAAACCCTAAAGCGATTCGAAGTCATTCATATTTTGCTTGCTTATATCCCCTCAGTCCACTTACTAATTCGCTGTTCCTTAGCACACAATTTGTTTGTGCAGGAATTAAACCGAGGGTTAAATAATCCAATGAGATGCACCTGGCATGACGGCATAAATTACTGCTTTAAGTAAATTTAATACGAGCCATTTTCTACATATTTTCTCTGGCGTGTATGTTTACAACTGAAACGTGGTTACAACGCTTCGCTTTAGTGCAGGTAAGTACATAACGTTACTTAAATTGAAGCACCACTCTTTGAGCCACCTCAGTCCTTTTTATAAAACAGATTTATCCTTCAAATTACGGAATTCGCATCCGTCCATTGTTGTTTTATTTATTTATTTATTTTTACAATTACTGATACGTTCTCATATTTAGGTAGGTCTTTTGCCATACCCTGGACCACAAAACCAGTCATAAGGGTATTTTATTATTATTTATTTGTTTTATTTTTTCCCATTTTGAGATGTATACATCATCTGAAAGCTGAATGAATAAGCTTTCCACTGATGTAAGCGTTCCATTGGTTTGTTAGGATAGGACAATGTTTGGCCGAGATACATATTTGAAAATCTGGAATCTGAGGGTGCAAAAGCCTTTAAAGTTGTCCAAATGAAGTTCTTCGCAATACATATTACTAATGATCAAAAGTTACGTTTTGATATATCTACGGTGGGAAATTTACAAAATATCTTCATGGAACATGATCTTTACTTAACATCCTAATATATTTTGGCATAAAATAAAATTCGATGTATACAATGTATTGTTGGCAATGGCTATTGCTACAAATATACCCGTGCTACTTATGACTGGTTTTGTGGTCCAGGGTCACATATAGTCTTTTAGGTTTGGCTATGTGGTTCTTTTAGAGATTAAAATAGTTATTTAATAAAGAGTAGTAGTTGACTTCTTTATTACTCCACATTTCTTTTTGATAAGATGCCCTGTATCGTAGTGCACTGCACACCGGTGCTTTGAACCACATTCATCCGCACAGAGGAGCAGAGCTGAAGCACTACCAAAACAATTCTTCCACTAGTAGACACAGGTTTATTTTGAACTGCTTGAGGGCCAAAGGTTAGGGGAGAGCTGGGTGGGTTGAGACCGTTTTTACTTGCAGTGTGTTTAAAGTGAGCATGTGACAGTAATGGGTCAAACTTAAATATTTACATACATTTCAGGATGTGGTGCATCCTTGGGAATAATCACTTTGGATCTAAAATAAACTTTTAATGTATGACTTTCCAAAAAAAAGTGGTTTTCTTGGCTCAACTCGCCCCCAGTGAGGAGTAAATTGAGCCACATGGGGTTAAACTGTGCCACTGATTATGCTAACAATTATGATTATGCTATTAAGTAAAACGGAACATTTTCACCTCATGCTATATCAGAGGAAGAGAAATTCAATAAATATGGCTTTGTGAAATCTATGTGCGAGCCTTGTGATGGACTGGCCATTCGTCCAGGGAGTTTTCCTGCCTCTGGCTCAAGACACTGGGTTGACACTGGGTTGAGGAATTAAAAAAAAAAAACCCGACTGCAACTGACCTTACAGAACTGGGCTAATTACTCAACATCTTACTTATGAATGTTGCAGGGAAATACAACTTCAATGACCAATTTTCATAAATGAGGCCTGTTTAACATTTTCAACAAAATCAAGTCCAGAACAAAGAACAAAACCAAAAATGTTTGGTCTAAAATTAATTAAATATTATTGAATTACAGTAAAATAATACTTTTGGCTCAAATTACCCCACTTCTACCATTTTAACAAACTTGTATCCTCCAGCAGTTTAGAGCTAACATCATGCTAACACTATAGCCTCGTTTTATAACTTCCTAGAGCACAAACGTGTGATATTTTTTTTTTTCAGATTTGTCTGTAATTGTTCAGACACAAGAAGCATGGGCTTTAAAATAGTTCTGCTGTGTGACAAATGAATCAAAATATCCCATGTTTCACTCATTATTCCCTCAATTATTATGAGCTCGTGTCAACTACTCAAATTGAAAACAGCACTTACTGATTTACTGCAGACATTTCTCGATGCTACAAATGGCTAAAGTTAAATAAAATATCCTGTTTGTTTTATTTTCTTCTAGGATGAGCTTACGAAGTCCTCAATGTACACTACCCATAAAACTGAGCATCTTGGGACTAACCCTTTTAATCACCATTCTATGGGTATTACTGCTGGATCTAGGAGGGTGGAGGTCTGCCAGCTACTGGTATCAAGATCTTTATTTAAAGCCAGGATATAGAGGCAGCGTGGGTAGGAATTACAGTAGCATCTGGCATTTTCAGATGTATACCTCTATACCACCTTTTGAAAGGGCTTTAGCGTTATCTGGAGATGCCAGATGTCCCTCTGGGTTCTACAGCATGGAGGAGCTCAGGCCTCACATAGAGCGACCTCAGGATCTAAAAGGACCTGGAGCTGATGGAAAGCCCTTCGTCACTGGCATCTTGACACCTGCAGAGCTGAGGGAGAAGCAGGAGGGCCTTTCTAGAAACAGCTTCAACCAGTTTGCCAGTGACCGCATCTCCTTCCACCGCAGTCTTGGTGACGACACGCGGCCCCCCGAGTGAGTACCACAGGAGGCAGACAGCAAAATTGTTCTTATTTGACCTTTTGATCATGTAGCACTAGTTCACTGTTACTCCTCCAAGATGCATTGAGCAGACGTTCAGCAGATGTCCACGTTTACCCACTACCAGTGTGATCATTGTGTTCCACAATGAGGCATGGTCCACTCTTCTCCGCACCATCTTCAGTGTCTTACACACTTCACCGGCTGTTTTACTTAAAGAAATCATACTGGTGGATGATGCAAGTACTCAAGGTAAGTAAAGGCATATATGCATTGCATTTTTAGGTACCTTATTTGAATAAGGTCGACAATAAAAAGAGCAAACAAATTCAATGGACTTATGTTGATGGAAGGAGCCAAGCAATATCTAGAGACCAGAATATCATAAAGACCTGGCATAAAGACGATGGCATCTTTCGACTTGAGCCAGTAAGCAGCCACCCAGGAGAAATGGCTTAGTAATCACTCGGAACACCCTAGCAATGCCTTCGCAATCCCCAGGACACACTAGCAGCACCTTAGCCAGCACCCAAAACATCTTAGCAACGACTTGGCAACCACCCAGAACATGTCAGTGCCTCATCATCTCCCCCACGACACACTAGCAATAGCTTGGCAACCACTCAGAGCACCCTGAAATGCCTTAGTTACCACCCAGAGCATTGTGGC